GTCAGTAAGTTGCCATATGTGAAGAAAATCACTGAGACTATTGATGCACTTAAATTGCTTAATAGTGTAAGTTTGCTAAATGGAGCAAAGATTCCACTGGATTGAACTGCTTCTGGTTGATCTGCAACTACCAAACTAAATAATAATAATGGGTTAAGACATACAGCTTGCAGGGAACTTCTTAATGTACGGAGTAGGTCTATTTACTGAATATCAGTGAAAGTCTCCAATCCTTTCAATGGACTCTGCATGGCCTCTCCTACATAAGAAGTCGGGTAACGATATGCTACTAGACCCATACCAATAGACCTGTGAAACTAGAAGCTTATGAAATCAAACCACAGCTTTATAATGGGGTTGGTCTGTATTTTTGTGAACTTAATTTAAACCTAGAGGGACAAAAGTTAAAGGGACAAAATTTTAAACAATTGCATGACCTAGTCTTTCAACTCTTTCAATAGACTTGTGAAAATAGACTTTTCCCTTATAAATCAGTCATTGAAAGACAATTATCATGTGCATGGTATGGTAAATGTCCAATAATATTTTGCCTGAAAAAATAGAAGTTGAGATTTTGTAGCTTTTATAATGAAGTTACTATCTCAACACTGAGCTTTCAAGTTGCAATAAAATGTTGATATAATGTTGGTTAGTAAATATTTTCTTTGTAAGATTTTTTTTCTTATTACATCAGCTAGGAAATTCTAGTACATGTAGAATATTTTAGATTAAATTATCATCTGTAATATAATAAAAAATAATTAGTCTTTTCCCCCACTAAAGACTTGCACATGAAGCTACATTTCTGGATGTTGTCGGGAAAATCTACACAAGTCTTTATTTTCTTCTGTTTTGAAGGTTAGAGTCTCTCATCTGAATTTGGATCATCATGCCAAGAAGAAGATCATTAAACTTGTAGGAAATCGATACAACAATGATACAGATATACTTACCATTACAACAGACAGGTACAGTAAGATGAGACCAATGTCAATTATAAGAGCAATTAAGGTCACTAAGTATTTCATCACAGTTCTCATCAAGAAGCAATAAACCAAAGTATCTTAAAGGGGAAGACAAAATTGTGAAGTTCTTTTTCACCTCAGTATAACTGATGTTATAACCCTGACTGAGGCAATGTTTCTCTCAGTTGCAACCTCATACCAATTTAGTCTCCGGTCCTCTGTTTGGATCTGGTTTTATCTCACACTTGATACAGTGTATGAGTTAGGAAATAGAAGATAATGCAGATAGCAACTGGACATAAAAACTATGAAGGAATCAATTAAGGAAAACAGGTGGATTGGAGTAGCTTGAATTTGAAAACATTGAAACACCACCGTGAAAAAAGGAAGGGCAAGAAATAAATGCAAGAAAAAGTGGAAATTATGTGAATGAAAGGAAATTAGAGTATTGTCTGTAAAGGCAGACTCCTTGATTTGCAATCAATCAGCTAGTTTCATGGAAAGTATAAAAAGCAATGTTTGCTACTGAGCTGAGTTTCCCAGAGTAATATTGTACAATAAATGGAACCTTCAAATAAATATTTTGGATAAATAAACTGATGTTTCAAAGCAATGAAGGAATGTGCTTGGATATTTTTCCCTTAATTTTAGTCCTTTTGCTCTGCCACTGTTAAGCGCTTCGACATGATGTCTATTAGCGTGAAGGACATTATATAAGCGCAAGTTGTTCTTGTTTTGAGTAGCTTGGAGCCTAATTTTTCAGTTGAATGTATTGAATCTTTTCCTTTGTGTTTCAGATGCCCACTACGTCGGCAAAACTATGATCATGCCATGTATTTGCTAACAGTTCTATATCACGAATCATGGGTAAGTGAACCATTTTTGACTGTTGGATTCCAACACAGCATGTGGAATTATGATTGTTTTTCCCTTTTGATTTTTAAAACAAAAAAGTAGAGCTACTATTTTTTTCGTAAGTACTTTTAATTTTAACCTGACTACTTGAAGAGATGTTGCTCTCTATTTTGCTTCTCAAGGACACCACCTTTAACAGACATTAATGCTAAATTCTTAGGCGCACCTGGAAAACTAGAGATACTTGCATATTATGCAGAATATTTACTTCTCTTGAAGTACCTTGAAGTTCACTATCATATTGCACTTTCCAACCCCATTACTGTCTGAACACTGATCTTTTATTACTGATAAGAAGTATCATTAAATTGATAACAGATGGAAATTTTCAATGACAGAGTAGTACTAATCATGAAAGATTAGTAGATGGTCTGTTTGTTAACACTAGACAATGCTTCATTGCTTTAACTATAACATTACTTAGATGGGGAGGCCATGCCATATGATATTACCATGTTGTGTGTATTGTATACTGAATACACAGAAAACCCTCTTGGTGAAATGGTTGCCTTTCAAATCAAACATCAATAGTTAATGGGGTTGCCAATCTAATCTGTTCTAATTGTGCTTGATTTTGGTTAAACATTAATGAGCCATGTGGCATATTTGATTTTCCATGGTCAATGTAATCTCTTTTGAATTGGGTTAAAAGAAGATTTGTTGGATATTGTTGAGAGGAGTTACACCTGTCTGATCTTACATTTTCATGAGAATGATTACTGTTGAATACTGCAATTATTTAAGCATTAGTCATTGTGGTAACAAACTGCACAGTAGTAATCCATAAAATGATTATCCGGTGGACAAAATACTAACATGCTGAGAGGTAAGTGTAAGTTTCCTGTTGATGAAATTGGAATACGAGAACACAGAGCATGTGGGCCTCATGGGAGAATAGATTTCTTGTCTGGTTGTCATTCCATACACTGGTAGTAATTAATAATGTCTTTCCTCAAATGAAAGACTTGTTTGAGATGCATCAATAAATACTGAAGGTAAATATTTAAGTTGGACAAATTAGATCATTTTCTTTTGTAAAATGTATACTTCCAATTATTTTGTATTTAAAGTGGCATTTTATACACTTTATACAAGTTTGAAATATTATAGTGGCAGTATCTAAAACATTCAGAAAGGAACACTACCGTGAATTTTTATTGAGAAACTAGCAATTTGCCAGACTTGAATATAATTTATGTTGACTGGACCATAATGTTTGTTTTGAGTACATTTTTTCACCATTGTTCTATATGGGTGGCTGGGAACTTATACTGATCATGAAAAACATCAGTATTTATTGGCTTAATATTGCACATTGTTACACACAAACACTTGGCCACTTTAGCACAGGTCCACTTATATTGCCGGGGTAACTTTTTTTTAAATAAAGTGAGGTCTAACTTTATGGACCCAAACCATTGTGCTATAACAGGCAGTTATAGCTCTGCAGTTGCTAACTTGCACAGTGATCTTTTGATACGACACTAAATTCCTTCCTTAAATTAATAACATTTGGAAATGTTCCATTATTACTGTACATTGTTCTTTAAAGGGCTAGTTTATGGTACCTTTTTATGGTCATTACAGGGACAAAATAGAATTTTTATGTGCTAATATATAATATTCAGAATACATAAAGCAAAACAGTCTCCATCCTTATTCTCTTTCACAAAGAGGAATATTTGTAATTGTTTCAATAAAGTCAGTTATTGAAAAATATTCAAACATTTTGATGATTACTGACAAATATTGTACATCTTTTCCCCCCCACACGTACTACCAAAATAAAGGAAAAGTTATAGATTAGTTACAGATTATAGTTATAGACACTCTAGATTGTAAACTATCTTTGTACACACATTTTAGAGATATTCCTTCTTTGCCTGGAATGGAAGAACTGCCACATGACCTTTTTTTGGATGGAGATTTTGTAATGTTGCTATTTGCACAATTTCATAACAGTATCTCAATACTCTTAAGAATACAATGCTTCTTTTCAGTAGTGGCCAACAAAGCCATCTGTGCATCCCTGTTTGCTCATCTAAGATCCAATCCCTGATAACGTGATGCTTCACCAAATTTGAGAAATTTCATTCTGGATTTCTTTCACAAATGGGCCTGTTCAGAGTCTTCAGTGAATTGAAATGAGCAATGCATTTATGAACCTGTCAATGAAAGTAAGCAAATTAAAAATAATTCTATTTTTACTAAGCTTGAATGTAACTTATCAAACCTGTATTTTATTATACAAGAGAAGCTGGAAGCAGTATATCTTTCGTTTGTTCCTTTTACCCTCCTTGGATCGATTCTCTATGGTGGTCTCAGGAGTATGTCTCCCGAACAAGGTTGTTGCACTGTACTCCAAGGCACTCCAAGACAATATAACCTGCTTGCAGCAGCACTTGGGAGGGGCAATACATTAGTTTACATTCATATAGCGCATTTCATGTCGGGAGGACGCCTCAAGGCACTTGGCAAATCAGTCAATGACCAGGATTCTTCCGCCTCTGCTTCTATTAACCCTGAAAGTCAAATCCTAGCTGGACATGCAGGGGGAAGCTTGCCAGACAAGCTATGTATTTTTAGCTGGTTAAATTCCAGCAGTACCCAAACAGAGACTCTGAGGTCCCCAAGCTGTCACTATTTCCAAACTGAGCCTCATAGTTAACAAAATAGATAAGCAGAGAGTAACTTTAGAGGGAGAGATGAGGCAAATTTTCATGCATATGTGGAATACATATGGAGAACTCAGTCTGGTTTGGATATACTTAAGCATCGCAATGAGTTTCTGCATGTATCGGACATCTGGCTGACCAAAGCACCTTTGGATTATAAGTTAAGGCTATAATTGATCTCTGACCAACATAGGTGTCTGTATTAGAACCTTTTTTTAAAAAAAAAAAGTGGCATTTCCATTGAATTGTATAAGTATGAATTTAATAGAATATTCAAAGCAACAATGCAAGTTCACTCTACCAAATACCAGCACCACAACAGACAGATCGTTGTAACTTATGTTTTATCTGTCCAATCATGAAACTAATAACCCAATTTCTTGCAAGGGATAAAAATTGTTCTTTGCCTAAGGCTTAGACACTGTCAGTTTATCATGTTTAAAACAGTATCCTACTATGAACTTGGAAAGTAATGCAGTTTTCTGTGTTGGTTGATTTACTCTATTCAGAACAGAAAAGGTCAGTCAGAATGGTGTATAATGCTTTGTTTACATGTCTAACCGCTGACTTTAGCCGAGCTCCCAGTTAAAGCGTTGGTTACAAATACATTTCTATTTAAGGGAGGGTGGGAAGGAAAAATGCCTTGTACAATATGGAAGATATTTAGATTCTTTGCTTTTTCAGGATTTGAGGGCAGAAAAAAATACTTTTATATTGTTATATTTAGGAAACATTTTCTATGTAAGTATATTATATGTAATACATCTATTTTCATATTAAAAATGTTTCCTTCTATCCCTCGTTCTCTAAGACATAAAAGCTAATTCCTGAGAGAGTCAGATTAGTTTATTGGGTACTATGCTCTGTATAGTTTATGTTTCTATATTTAAAATAGTATATCAAATTCTGCAGAGTGCATTTCTGATGCTTTTTGCTAGTAGTGCTTCAGACATCTGCCTGTACTTTTAATTACTTCAGACTTAGTCGCATGTCAGTATTTTCTTCCTTGCTTATTTGATTTCTTGACTGATGTGAAGACTAATCTGTTCCACCCAAGATATTAAAAATGTTGAAAAATCTGGAAAGATATTGAAAATCAGTACTCTATAAAAATGGAAATAATAAATTTAAGGATCTGCTGTTCTAGGTTAATTTATTTAAGTTACAGCAACATGATGTCTCTTGAGCTATGTTTGCAGAGTTGCTGCCCCCAAGTGAGCCTACTGTGAACAACATTTGTTTTTCCAAATTCTTCCCTTTACCTTTCCTCTGGAAGGCAGTGGCTGATGCTCTAGTATGGACTTCTGTGTGCCAACTTCAAGATTTGTCCCAAGTTGTTATTCTTCATATATGAATCAAGAGTCTATTCTTAGCAGGTTTGGAGAAGGATATATGGCAGCCTTTTACATTAACTGTAGAAAATATTTAATTCCCTCTTTAGACTAGAAAGGGTATTCTTAAAGCACCTGACACCTAATTTTATTTGCACCCACCATACACTGGAGACATGCAGACCCTTTTGAGGGTATCTTGGGGGTATGGTATATTTCAAAATAAAGCTTCAGGGTCCAAATAGCTTTTAACAGCTGTCAACCATTTCTCACCTAGAAATCTTGAGAACATCATTTATTTCCTCTTTGGAATTAACAGTTTGGTCAGCCTTTGGTGAGAAACAATTAAATCTTCCTCTCAAGAAAGCTGATCAGTACTAAAGTTATTTCCTTGAATTTTAAGCACCAACGTGGACTAATTGGGTTGAATGACAAGCCAAACAGATTTTGTTATTTGTACTCCAAAAGATGAATGAGATAGAAGCTTGTTGCAAGGTGCCAAAAATGAGCACTTCATAATTGCCAGAAATAGTACAATGTACTTTGATGTTTTCATATAAAAATAACGACATGTCTGTCATTAAAAGTAATATAATTACAGAGCAACCATTATAGGATAAATGGATGTCAGTCAGCTGAATAAATAAAATTCTGCATTGTCAGAAAGTTTTCTCTGCCTCAGCTTTCAACTCTTGCTCTTATTCAATGAGTTTTTTTAATCAGTTCTTGGCTAAGGTAATTGAACACAGTATCTTACGTCAAGGAAGAATAAATCTTACAGGTTTGATTGACTGGTACACACCATCCAAACTGCTAATTGCAGTTAGCATTGACATGCGCTATGAAGTATTTAATTGCTCTTACATTTATCGCTTCTAAGCCTGAATAAGCCCCAGTGGTGGTAGCAATGGAAAAATTACCATATTCGCTACAATTTATGACCTCC